TTCTGGCTTCCACCATTGACCTGTGTGCCTTCTCAATGCAGATCTGTGAAAGAGACTTGCATGAGATATTTTCATGGGCTCTAGGCCTCCAGTTGGCCTTTTGGGAGGCATTGTTATGGGCTATAGGTTTTCAGCTGGACTCATGCAGAACACGGTCATGGAATGCAGGCCCTCGGCTGAATTCTTTGGGGTCTTTCCCCTCTGTTTATTGCTTGCCTCACCTTGTGGCTTCTTTTTGTTGGTGTTTTTATATGATAGTCTTCATAGACTCTTTCTAAAACATCCTTCAGGACATGTTGTAGAGCTAGTTTGGTGGTCATGAATTTTTTCAATTTTTCTTTGTCATGAAAGTATCTTATTTCATTGATTTTTGAAATATAATTTTGCAGGGTACATAAGTCTGGGTTGGAAGTTATTTTCTTTCAGGACTTGCTATTCACTCCAAACTCTCTGACTTAAGTGTTTATTTTAAAATTCTGCTGTGATTCTGATGGGCTTTCCTTTATAGGTAATTCATTTCTTTTCTCTAACAGCTTTTAATATTCTGTCTTTGTGCTGAATTTCTGGAATCTTGAATATTATATGCCTTGACATGGATTTATTTTGGTCATGGCTAATTGGAATTCTATATGTCTCATTTGGATGTCAAATTCTTTTTCCATGTTTGGGAAGTTTTACACCATTAGTTCTGTGAACAGGGTTTTTCTGGTATTTACCTGTCTCCAGTTTTCTCATTGACTGTGATTATTCTTATGTTGTTCTTTTTTGCAACATCTTGCAGCTGTTGAATTGATTTTTCAAAGTCCCTGGTTATTTTTAAGATAACTTTCTTTATGTGCTTGCTAACCACAATCCTGTTTTCTAGATCTGATATTCTGTCCTTCAACTGGTTCAATTTGTTGCATGTACTATCAACGGAATTTTTAATTTCCTAGATACTTTTTGAATCTGTTTCATGGATTCCATTTATTTCCAATGTTGTGCATTTGTGGTTTATATCTTTTTCTTAACCTCCTCTATTTTTATCTGTGTCTACTTTAGAGTCACTGAACAATTCTTCATTTTGATCCTCTTTTTTTGCATGAGAGATTATTTCTAATCTGATTTTCTCTATGGCCTCATTCTTGCATTTTATTTTATTTTTTTAAAATTCTGTTGCTATCATTTCAGAAAATTCAGGTAGGTCGCTTCAGATTTCTTCTATCTCATTCTCCCCTGGACTTGTCCTGTGTGGGCTAGGAGGTCTGGAGTTGCATTTTGCTTCTGCATCTTGTCATTTTCTATTTTTAATATTTATTTTTTGGTGTGTTGATTACCTATCGATTTCTTATGATAGATACCTTTATCACTAATATCAAAGTTTCCTTAGAAAATGTCTATTTTTCAGAAATTTCTTCTATGTATAAATTTCTCTTGGAATTGTGCCTTTCCCAAGATCTTATCTTCCCATTTTATTAGGGATGAGAAGTTGTTATTTATTGGGCTAGGCACTCAGTTATTTGGTACTGGATTATGGTGATGGTTATGACCCCAGACAATCACAGTGTTGTCATATAAGGGAAAACAACTGATTACAACAGGTATGATATCTTTGCTAAAGTAGTACAATTAGCAACAACAATAGCACTGAGCACAACCTATAAACTGACAAACTGTGGTTACTATTAATTTGGCACCTTTAACCATAAGAACAAGATCCACAATAGTAAAACAAAATTGAACATAAGCCAGAAACTTGTATGGAATATTTCCCCTTAGGATGATTTTACCTTATTGGGGAGCAGATCAAAGAGGAATAAGGTATAAAATGGAGATTAATGAAGAGAAATATAGTAGAAGTAGGACTACGAGAACAAAGGATGGTTGTCCAAGCTTTGGGAAAGTAAAACAGAGGACAGGAGAGAAAGAATGAAGGATCAAGCAAAAGAATATCAAAGTGAACTAGAAAGACTAGAGATAGTGTTTACTCACTTGAGAATATAAAATTGTAAAAGACTGTTAAAGAGAGAACAAAGACAAATGGAGCAAAACAAAAACAAAAACCTAAACACCCCCGCCAAACAAAAACAAATTAACAAATAAGCAAACAAATAAAAACCCCATCGGAGGGAAAAGGGAAAACGAAACAAAGGAACAATGAGAAAAATTCTTCAGGTGTCTACAGTTCTTTGCTAGTGTCCACGTCAGAGTGCCCAACTGTGGTGGGTTACCCCACCAAGTCTGCAGTAGGATTAGTGCTGCGATGGGGGGGCTCATGTTGGCCTCTGGATGTGGAGGCTGGGGCTTGTCTTCAGCCAGCAACTTTCTGAGTCCCTTGGCAGAGCATCCCTCATATTCCTTACACTGTCTGTCTCTGCACTGCTCTATCAGTTGCTCTGGTGCCCTCAGGCAGAGACAGTCGGGGGACTGCTCCCCGTCTTTGTACCACCTCTTATGCTCCACTGTCACTGGCTGCTCTGTATCCTGTCATGCTTCTTGTTGTGGGCAGAGTGGCGATGCTGTCACTGCCATGAAGACAACCCAAGGGTGCTTGTTCCCCCATCATTCTGATCTCCAGTGGATACAGTGCCAACCTCCTACTCATTACTTTGCAGCAATTAAGATTTTAAAATTTTCCCATGTTTGCCTTCCTCTCTTAAGCCACTGGTCACAGGACAGGCAGGATGATGCTGTTCCAATCACTACTTTCATAGTCTCCACTGAGGTCCCTAACTTTGTTGTTAGGGATCCAGTTAGCTGCTAGGGCACAGGACAAAAAACAAAAACAAAATAAAGCAAAGCAAAGCAAAGAAAACACAGAAAAAGCTGGCAGCTTTTCTGGGAGGGAGCTGTTTCCTGGTCACTTGGCCCTGTGTATTATCAGTGAAATTTACCACCAGGCTGCAGCATTCTCTGTATGGAGGGAAGGAAAGAGGCAAGGGTCCTTATCTCCCACATCTACCCTTCATAGACTGGGTTACCCACAATTGTGCAGTTCATCACTTTTTTGGAAACTTCCCAGAATGGCAGTTCTCACATCACATGCAGGCAGCAACACCACCGGCTGACCTGTGCACTATAAAGTCCTATTTCTATGTTTTGTTTGACCTACAAGTCTCTTATTTCAGATTGATTTTGGCACCAGGATATATGTCCCTCACTTCCTTCCAACTGTCGGTGTTTTTTCTGAGTATCTCAAACATGTTTCCTCCCCTGTTCAACCATGGTTCTCTGCCTCCCCCACCAGTTTGGGGTATGTCAGAAGGTCACCAGAGGTGTCCACTAGCTGCCTATCTACCTCTTGGTCTTTTGGCTTCATGAAGAAATTCAGTTCCATTTACTGTGCTCCACCACTTTCACTATTCCTATGGAAAGCTATCAGCCTGCACTGTCCTCCTCCACACAGCTGCCCATCTCTTCCCCTGATCAGTGCTATTTCTGACCTGCCTCATCTGTCAGGCATCAGTCATCAGAGTGTCTTGAAATGTTTCCTCCCCAGGCCCCCCCAAACCATTCAAAGATACGAGTTCTTTTAACCAGGTTGTGTGATGCTTACTGTATTGTAACCAATTCATCCCTACCATGTTACCAAGGTAGTGTGCACCATATGAGGTTTCAATCCCCCACCCTAACCCACTGTCCGGACATTGAAGCCAACGCTTGATCTCAGACAGAATCTGTGGCAACATAGACTGAGAATCACAGCCATGATGTTCACTTCTTAGAGCACAAAGAACTGGGAAACCTCAAGACAGTGTGAGGCAGCAACATCATCTGGATCATTTCTCAAGCCGGCCCTTCATCTGCAGAGGCTGAGGTCCCCAGTCCCTGGTCCCTGGTCCCTGGCATTTCCCCTCCACTGTCCCCCTCTGAGCAGTGGCCCACCTCTTCCCTGATCCGTGGTATCTCTGGCCTGTCTCAGCTGTCAGTCATCAGTCCCCAGCCTGTCCCCTCACACAGTGGGGCTCCACCAGCACAGGGGAGAGAGCAGTCTCCAGCAGGCCTCAGGGCATCTCCCAGGTCTGCACAGTGCTCGGGGCTCCATAGAGGTCAGGAGATGCTGCTTACCCAGAGTGATCCAGGGGGCCAATGCTGCCCTGGCTGCTTTTCACTCAAACCACTATTTTCATCCCACCCCAAACCTAGCCCTCGTTTAGAGTTGTGCCAATTACACTGAAGGTCACGTAAGTATCACGCTCCAATGGACTTTTCTCTGGCTCTCACAGACCAAGAAAGTATGTCAGTCTGGAGCTCTCTGGGCACGACTTCAAGGAAAGATCCCCTACTTGCCCGGAAATCCTTGCAGATGATCGGGACAGATCACGTAGTTCTTATGCTACGTCCTACTGCACTGTGACAAGAGCTCAGGATGCATCCAATAGCTCAGCCAGGTGGACACTGCTCTCTGCATTGTCCATGAACCAGAGAGAACTGCTCAGAGCAGTTTTACACTGCAGCCCCAAGCTACCTCCACGGAGTGTCTGGTCCTGGCCACAGTGCAGTAAAATCAGCTCTCAAAGAAGGAACTGCAGGTCTCCCAAGCTCAAGCTGCCCCAGGCCTTCATTCCGCCTTCTCCTGCATCTGACCCTGCCCTTTCACTGGTCCTTTAAACCGCCGAGGACCTCTCTCCATTTCCCGCCATGCCCGGAGATGGCCCTGGCTCCAGCATCCTGTGGGGAAGAGTGGGTCCTGCTGCCCAGTTTACTCAGGTCTCCACCCTCACAAGGGGCCTTCCACAGAGCATCGGCTCAGAGGGCTGGGGTCAATGTATCTGTGAGCAGGCAGGGTTCGCCATTCAGAGTCATTTCTCCAATATTTCTGAAAAAACTAAGCATATATTGTATAAACATTTTATTTTTAGTTTTACAGAATGACAATGAAAAGGAATAAGGGACAGTAGGTATTGTTTTAAACATTTTACTGTATTTATTGATCTCATCTATTTTACTGATGGCTTACTTCTTTCATATTTCCAAGAAAGCTTTTATTCCAAAGATAGATAACAAAATAGGATGGAAGATTTTACAATTTTTTTATAAAACAGCTGAACTCTTAAAATGTATAAATAGCAACGTGTTTGTGACTAGTACCACTAAAATGCACAATTTTAAGTTAATTAAATCAAAGGATGGCTATACACAAAATATCAAAAAAAATCTTCAAGTTATGCACACAGAAATATAAGGATTACACACTGAATTTAACCAATCCCCAGTTTGCATCTGCATTATTTAGAAAAGTGACTGCTCTTTGCAAGGGTAGAATTTAGAATCTGTCTCAGAAGTTACACGGGACAGGAGAAACTGCTAGATGTGGCCCTGGAATGTACCCTGTCCTTGGCCTTAGCCCTTGTCATCACTCTTCTATTGCCATTGACTGTGGGTCTCTCTCTTGTTCATTTTCTGAACCCCCCTCATGACAGACAGGTGAGGTCTTAATTAAAGGTGGTATCTTTAAGTCTGCCCAAAAATTCCAGAACTTTTTCCTCACTGGTTTCAGCATGGGCCCTGGGGCCCCATAGGAACTCATATCGAGGAGGAATAGTGTTGGACACCTCCAGATATGCTAAGTATTGTTCCCGCACCAAATCCTCTGTGAGGAATTTCCTGGGCTCCCCATATAAGCGGTGCACCTTCCCAGGATACAACCCCATCCCACTCAGCACTTCCCAGATGGTTTCCTCAGTGACACGGTTGCCCCGAACGTGGATTGCACCCAGGATGATTATCAGGAGGATGGTCCTGGGGTAGTTCTGTTCATCAGCTATCATCCCATCATAGGTGAGGCCCAAGGAAGGACTAAGAACATAGTAGTGGCTGGGAGGGTCCATTTTCTTCACATCAATGCCAAAGACCAGCTGCAGACAGTTACAGGCTTCCCTAAAGATTAGAAGGAAGTGCTCCTCATAATCTCTAGTGACAACCATCTGCATTTCTGCCACACTGGTTGGCTCTTTTTTTAGATACTTAAAGGCCAGAAACTCCATCAATTCAGCCACCTTATCCTCTAAAATTTCCCTAAACAAGGACTCAGCGTTTGCCAGGGTACATGAGGCGAATGAAACTCGCTCTTGTACGCGGCTATAGCACCTAAGGGATTGCATCGATAGGGTAACCTCCATGATGCTCTGGGGTGAGGAGCCTCCCTCAGGACACTGAGAGACATCCATCATCTCCTCAGCAGAAGCCTCCTCCATGATGCCTAGATCAGAGACCAGAAGGAAGATGAGGATGAGGGAAGGAGATGAGAGAGTGGAAGACGTGAGTTCTTGCTTTAGGGCACTGAAAACCTGCCCACCCACCAAGCCCTGTGTCTCACTTTGGTCCTCAGGGTCTTCCTCAGGTTGGTAAGGCTCTTCAGATCCAGACATGATGGTATGGGACAGGGAGCTGAAGCTCCGTGCTGAGGCCTCAAGGACCTGGGGCAGAAGGAGAGTTTGTGTGCAGCATTCAAAGAGAAAGTAAGGGGACATGAGTTCATCCATGATCCCGGAGTCTCCCCATAGGTGACAGCAGAGACAGAACTGGGGTTCTGTATGCTGTGTATGGGGATCTCTCTGCCCAGTTAGACTCCAGGCAGTGCCTGGGATCCTTAGAGACCTCAGGCTGGTAACAGTGGATACCAGGCTCTGAAGACTCCCTTCTTTTGGGGTGTGTGAGGGTACTTCCATACCTTCAGGCTTTACCCAAGTTCCAACCTTGACTGCTGGCAGGGCCCAGCTTCCTCCCTCTGTGGATCAGGCGTGACTCCTCCTCTGCCCTGGTGACCCACTGCTGACCAAGGCGAGATCTCCCTGTGCTCAAGCAGACAGACAAGAGACGTAGCACTTCCACACCCCTCCATGGGCCTTCCCCAGGGTCTGGCCAGAAGGAGGAGGTCACAGAAGCCATCCTTCCTCTGAAGCGTGCCCAGGGGCCTCCACTCTCCCCTGCGGACCTGCATCATGGCATCCACAGCCACCATCTCTCTGTGACCCCAGAGCTGGAACTGGTATGTGTGGGAGTGACTCTTCCTCTTAGTCCTACCAGGAGCCACCCTCAAACAGGGACATGTTTCCTATGGCCTGGATCTGTTTAACTGATGCCACACTCCTCGGACCAAGCCCCACTCTTTCCTGACACCAAGAGCCAGTGACAAAGGTACCCTGTGCCTACTAGCACTGACAGCAAGGTGGAGGTCACCTTTTAATCAAGCATGTAAATTTCTCTCAACTGTCCTCTCTTGACGTCAGGGTTCTCCCTGGGCTTTCAGGCAAGATGGCAGGAAACAATTCAGAGCAGAAGCACGTGGACGTTGGGTTCCGCATGCCGCGGTCTTGGGACATGTGGTCCAGCTTCCCCTCTCACTCTGCCTTGGGGCAAGGCCTGGGGCTAATTGACCCCAAACTGCCCCTGCTCCTGCCACCTGAAGCAAGGCAGCCCTCGTGAGGAGGAGGAACTGCTGCCAGGCTCTAAGGGGCATGAGTGAGCCCTCACCCTGGAACTCTGCACAGTGTGCTACAACACAGGCCTTTCTAAGTCATTCTGGGGTCCTCTGAGGTAAGGCTTCCTCGGCTCCTCTCTGCCACCCCTTATCTTGATCTAACTGAGTCCAGGCCTTTTCTGCTCCTCCAACCTTGGGACCTTGGAACAGGGTCTCATATCCTCTCAGCATCCAAAGAGAACAAAGGGGGCTCATGCTTGAGACTTCTGCACTGCAAGGTGCACAGCAGGCAACAGAGGCTTTTCTACAGTGTTCTGGGGCCCTGTAGCAGGTGTGAGGCTTCCTTGGACCCTCAAAGCCCCTCAAGGTAACCTGAGCCCAGGTTCCCTCTACTCCTCCCACCAGAAGCTAGGCTCTGGCTTCCCTGTGGATCCCTATGGGCGCGTCCTGTCTTGGAAGTTCTTCCCTGGAGTGCAGGGCTAACTACGGCATGAATCTGGGTTGTTCCAGGCCCCTCTCTGCGGTGGGGCTTCCTCACTGCCCCCACAACCCTTCGACCTGACCCTTACTGATGCCTGGCCCTCTTGCTCCCCTCACTTGAAACACATAACACAGAACTGGACCTGCCTGCCATAGCTGTGACCCCCAGAATGACGTCATATCCAGCAATGCGCACACTTGTGTGTGTGTGTGTGTGGGGGGCGCAGCGAGGCTGTCTGACAGCAGGGGTGTAATGGGGTTTTTTGCTCCCTGTCTGTCCTCAGGGGTTGTCACCTTGGTTTCTGGCAGAGGCCAGACCACCACCAGACCGGATCTGTTTCCCTCAGGCCAAGGCTCTGACTCCAGCGCCCCTGAAGCTGAAGAGGGCGGAGCCTCAGTCTTACAAGGCTGCCTCTGTGTGGGCCCCAGCTGACAGAACTAAGTTGTGAGGTGACCCTGCGTGCCTGGGCCTTCCTTCCTCTCCACAGCCCGTTAGGGTCTGTGACCGGCTGATTAAGCCCTCCCCGGCCCTCCGTTTCCCTGTCCTGAAGCGCACACCTCAGAACCGAACCTCATGTAGCTCTGACCTTCGAAGCGTTTAGTCAGTGAACTTCACGTCCCACAACGTGCTCACGTCCAGCAACGTGCTCACGTCCAGCTACGTGGTTGAGGGTCTCCCATGGCTGACAACAGGGGCGGAACGGAATTCTTCGGGTCCCCTCTGTCCTTTCTGGGGGTTATCACTTCGGTTCCGGCCAGAGTCTGAATCCCTGTGCTCTGTGGACCTCAGTCTGTTTCTCTCAAATCAAGACTTAGACTCCTAGGTTTCTCTGAGCAGGAGGGAAAAATGCTCACAAGCAAATCTTTCCCTGGGATGCAATGCTGACTAAAGTCTGACTTGGACAATTTGGGGACCCTGTTTGTGGGGTGCACTTGCTCAGTCCACCCTCAAGTCTTAAGTTTACCCAACACAGCTCAGTCCTTCCTTGAAGCCCGGAACTTAGTTCAAGCCCATCACATTGATCTGACCCCATGAGTGGGGAGACAGTGGAGGTCACATTAGGTGACATGTCTGGGGTCTGCCAGGAGGAGAACAGTAGTCTGCAGGTTCCTGTCCTCCTTAGTTCACAGAAGAGCTTGGACTCTGGTCCTGTCCACCTCAGTCGGTTTCCTTCAATATCTGATAGTCCCCATAGTGGCAGCCATGGGAAGGAAGCATTGTGGTCAGGCTGACTTCATTGGCTGGGGCCTCCAGGGCTGAACTCAAGGGCCACACTGAGAAGCCCAGACTGTGGTGACCTCTACAAGGACAACCATATCCTTCCAGAGGACTCCTTGCCAGCCAGAGGCGGTAGCCCCACGCTTTCCCTTTAAAAACTCGATGTGAGCCCGGTGTGGTGATGCACGCCTGTAATCCTAGCACTCAGGAGGCTGAGGCAGGAGGATTGTTGTGAGTTCAAGACAAGCCTGGGTTACAAAGTGAGCTCGAGGCCAGCCTGAACTGCATAGTGACACCTTGTCTTAAAAAAAGACAATAAATACATAAATAAAAATAAAAGAGCAATGTTGAGTGGGACGAGGGTGAGCAGCAGAGGATCGGGACTATCCCTTCTTCTGTGAAGTGATCCAATCTTTATAGTCCAGAGTGTAATTACCACCTTTCAATGGCCATTTAGAGCCAGGAAGCTATTTTATATCTCCTCTAAATGACGGTGTGGACTTTATATCAATTCAAAGTGTATAAAGTACATGTAGGCTATAGTTTTCTATGGATACAAAATCATATGTGTGTATGCATTAGTAAATATACTGTATCTGTCAAACAGATGCGTTTAAGTGTATGTTTATACAAATGAATCTGTATGAGCTATACTACATATGCTTATTTGATTAAAGAATATCTACTGTCACTATGCGTGATTCAGTTTTTTACATGCTACTATAATTTTAGTGCACTCCTTACATTTCATTAAGATAAGGAAGGTTTTGAGAGCCAGTCCTCATCCACTAGGGTGATTTCAGGTGGTTTTCAGCTCTGTCTCTGCAGCCACATTGGCTCCATTTCCTTCTGCATTACCTAGGGCAGCCTGGGATGCAACGCTGACTACCCCCTGCCACTACCCCCAAAACAAGTCTTCAGTCTCCCCTGGGGCTTCCTCAGAAAAGTTTTGTTTACATTTAGTTGCTATCTGTGCTTGCTAGGTTTTATTTCCTCTCTTCTGTTAGTTTTCAGGGTAAAATTGGGAAGCACAAGATAGTAACACAGCTTGGTTTTCATTTTGGCAGCTAAAGAGAGGGCACTAAACTGTAACACATTTAAGGAAAACTGAGTTTTATGTTATTCTGTTTCCCATCAATGAAAAGGACACACTGATCTACTGATTTCACACTTCCTTTTACTGTAACCCATCAGCACAGTTGCCTCTATAAAGACTTTGTATCTCTTTGATAGGTTTCTTTTTATATACAATACGTCTAAGACTTAGTTGCTATTACCAATGACATATTGTTTATTAATTGCTCTAATTAGTGCTGTTATGTCAAAAATATTTCTGTTTCGGCAGACTAATCAGAGCATCTACCTGGTTCTTAAGTCTTGATCAATTAAATATTCAACTGTGAGTCCTTTAAAATTTTGAGATACAGAATGATACTGTCACTAGCCATTATTTTACCCTCATGTTACTGTCCTTACTTATCACGGTACTCATGGTACTGACTTCGTGTCTCGGTGCTGTGTTGAAACATACACGCATAAACGTCCATTCATGTCTTGTTGCTGACTTTAAGCATAATTATCCTACCATTCCCTTTTGAGTACACATCCTGGTGATTTTAGGAAATGGAAGCTTCCTTTTCATACTAGCTAAATAAATGTTTTTCCATGAACTGATGTTGAATTTCTTTCAAAAGCTTTTTCTATATGCACTGAAATGATAAATATTTTACCTATTTTCTACATAAGGAATTAAAATGGGAAGTTTTTTTTTCCTAATACTAAATCATATTTTCATTATTTAGAACAACTTCTTTGGTTTCCTTCTATGTTAGAGTTGCTACTTAATTGTGTAGGAAATTTGCTGCTGTAAGAAAGCGTGGCCTGCAGTGTTCTTTTCCTGGATTTATGGAGCAAAACACAAATTATGGTATTATCTCTTTTTTCTTGCAATGGGTTTTACTTGTTGAAAAGAGCACTCCACTTTTTCCAGTTGCCCACACCCTGGCTTATGCCAAATGCAACACTGTAGTGTCTTTAAACGTATTTTTTACTCCTTAGTTTCTAGGGATATGTGGTGCTTCAATTTTGTATTGTATATAAGTTTCCTCAGTCCTAAATTCAGTCATTTCTCCAGGGCAGACTTGTTCCTTTTATTTGAAATGGTTCTAGAAATCTACATCTGCATATTATGGGTGTTCATTGCTACTGGGAAATTGTCAGATATTGGCCCTCTCTGTACCATGAATGCAGATGTGTACACAGTATTTATATATAGAGACATCTATAACCATACATGTAAACTGCTGATTCTGTATTTAAATTAGTATGTTTTTATACTAATGTTTCCAACTAGAAACCATTTC